CAAGAGAAAGACACCAAGAACTTTTTGGGTTATATTACTTTAACTTCCTGTGTATATATATCTGTATATCTATATTATGACATGATCCCAACACAGACAGGTGTCTTGATTTATAACAACTTCATACAAAAGGAGTAGACCATAAGATAAAGACACATTTTTGAAATTTTAAAATTTATTTTTTTGGGGGTCTGTCTTTCTGCCTGTCCGTCAACACTTTTGTAATGGTGCTAGCTGTAACTCAAAGTTTTTACAGTAAAGTAAGTTCAAATACATGTAGTTCATAATAAGAGAATGAAACCTATTAATTTGGGGGTCATATGGTATGTGTTTCTGTCTGTTTGTATGTCTTAAATATCAGTAATTCTAACATATATTAAATGCATATGCAGGCCTCTAAGTGGCCTCTTAAATTTAGGCGCCAGCTGGCACCTTATCAAAAAAATTTAGCTGCCAATGCAAATTTTTATTTGCCAGGCAATTTTTCTAAGGCGCCAACTTTAAAAGTTAATAGAATATAGGGACCAATGACGTGCTTAACAAAACATGACATGTCCATGGCTAAAAATAATTTCCTCTTCTTTTAAATTTCTTTTTGCTTTTTCAGAAAAATTGTTAAAAAATGTGAAAATTTCTGGAATTCGACGATCGCCATGTCAATTTAAAATGGTTGCCAGTTTGGTGACTTTAAGAAAAATTTTAGGCGACAATCAAAAATTTTAGGTGCCATGGCGACTAAATTAGTTGCCAATTAGAGCCCTGATATGAGTAATTTTTCAATGTCACCTTCCTTATGTGTTATGATTTATTCTAAATGTTCATGTATCAAGTATACTGTTGTCACTTTCCTATGACAGCCCTTGGCAGGGCTGTCTTTGACACTGTCAGTTTTCTAGTTCAGTTTGCTTTGTGAAAGTAGAGTAGTACCAGTATAAGGTGTTAAAGTTAAATTAATTTTTTATGAAATGTGAAGACATTTGACAAGATTTTGATAGGATTATTATAACTCTCCGTATTGTTTTTAACTAGATTACAATGTATTCTTAGTATTTTACTTTGTTTTATTGGGGAAAATGCTGCTCTCTCTGTCAATTCATTTAAGTGTGTTAATCTGCTTTTCAATCCTTTTCATTTTTGGATGATGACATGTTGATGTTTGGAGGATAAAACATTTTTAAGTGAAGTGGGAATAATCCAGTGTCACATTGACATCAAAGCTGAATCATTTGATGCGTTAAATTTTAAGCACTATATGATTAAGGATTTTATAGGTAAAACTTTTTTCTAGATTGCATTTTACTTTAGTTTGAGCTAGGTACATGAAAGGTACATTATTGTAGAAATCACATTTAAAGACCATAAAGAGATTGATAAAAATAAATGTCACAACACTTAGAGGACCATGTTTTACAAAATACTTGAACCAAAATTTACTTTTGGTTAATTTTATCTAATGCTACAATTGATTTTAAGGTGAATAAAAAGAATTCAGTAATTTTATACAAGTTTATAAATCTCACAGAATTATCAAGTTAGGAAGACTTTAGAACTATAAAAATTTTCAGTCTTTCTCTTTAATAGTCATAAGTTCTTTAGTAAACAGGGCCAAATTATGGCATGTTAGGATTTATCTTGATTTGTCTCTTTTTTTCATGCACAGTGTTTTGAAAAAATCGGGGGTTCTGGAGTTAAGATGGGGCTCTTAGATCATATAGTGAAAATGCATAAATTCTTTAGAAATCTTCTCCTCTCCCCTGTATATTTAGCAGATAAATTACATGCATTAAGTTATGATGAGCAAGGGTGCCTCTCCAAAGTTATGATGAGCAAGGGTGTCTCTTAAAAAATTGTGAAGTTTGTGGCCCCAGAGTCAGGAGTTCTGATGATTGGGAGAAACTGTATTTGATTACACAATGAAAATGCTTAAATTTTTTGAAAATCTTCTTCACTGGTTCTGGTCATTTAGCAAACAGATATAGTGCATAGTAATGTTGAGCAAGTGTGCCTCTTCCAAAAATGTGAATTTCATGGCCCCTGGGTCAGGGTTCTAGTGATAGGACAGGACTCTATTTATTATATTGTGAAAATGCATAATTTTTTTTTTTTGGGGGGGGGGGGGGGGGGTGGGGGGAGGGGGGGGGGGGCTCTATTAAATTATATAATGGAAAATTTTCTTTTCTGCTCCTGGGTATTAAGCAAACAAACTAAATGCATAGTCATGATGAACAAGGGTGCCTCTTCCAAAATTATAAATTACCTGGTCCCTTTGTCAGGAGCATGGTGATACAGTGGGCTCTTTCAAATATATTATGTGAAAATGCATAAATTCTTTGAAAATCTGTGTATTAAGCAATTAAGCAGTTAAATTAAGTGCATAGTTATGATGAGCAAAGGCACTTCTTCAAGAACTTTTAAAATTATCGCCCTTGTGTCAGGAATTTTTTTGCTGGAAAGGGGGGGGGGGGGTTCTTTTGATTATGTAGGGAAAATACATTATTTCTTTGAAAATCTTTTGCTCTCCTCCTGGGGGAATTAAGCAAACAAACTAAATGTGAAGTCATGTGTTTATTTCAAACCAAGAGACCAAGAGAGTCCAATGTGAGAGGGAATGAGATGGGTTTACCAGTAGTGAACAAGCTCTATTGTTTAGTTTAGTTTACAAGATAATGGTAAAAAATGGGGGCAGGTACAGGCAAGTAAATAGATCTTGTTTAAGTTTTATTAAGGAGTATAAAACTAATTATTTTGTTGATCCCTTATCATTATATTTCTCTTGCTTTTAGGCAACATAGCTTCATCTTTTAGTTTGTTTTATTTCATACTTCTATGAATCCTTTAGTGTTGTATTTTACTCAGGTGACTGTTAAGGCCTTTTGACCTGTTGTTTAAAAAAATGGTCTTTTTTCATTGTGAAAAGCTTATTGGAAATATCTCACAGATAAGTGTGAATACTTATAAACTTGTATTTATAGGAAAGCTTTTTTTTTTAAATAAAAATGTGGGCTGAATGCTTGAAAATCTTTTGTTTTTGTAAATTTGAAGATTAATAAGTTTTGTGTATACATACAAGAATCAAACAGAAAAAAATGCTCTGAGCAATGAGAGTCCATAACAAAACCAGTTAAAGGTAAAATGTTACCTGTTAATTTGACATTTTCACAGGACTTTTATCTCACCAGCTGAGCCGAAGGCTTAAGAGAGCTTTTCTGATCAAAATTTGTCCATTGTCTGTAGTACTTGTCATAAACTTTTCACACTTTCATCTTCTCCAGAACTACTTGGCCAATTTTAACCAAACTTGGGTGAAGGGGATTCAATTTTGTTCAAATGAAGGGCCACAAATTCTTCCAAGGGGAGATAATCATGAATTAGTGAAAAATTTATGGCATCTTTTAAACATCTTCTTCTCAAGAACTACTGGGTTAGAAAATACAAAATATGTGGAATCATCCTCAGGTAGTGTAGATTCAAGTTCGTTCAAATCATGACCCCCTGGGGGTAGGATGGGGTCACAATGGGTGATCAAAGTTTACATAGGAATACATAGGAAAAATCTTCAAACATCTTCTTCTCAAGAACAGCAAAGCCTGAATTGGTCATATTTATGTGGTACATCCTCAGGTAGTGTAGAATCAAGTTTGTTCAAATCATGACCCTGGGGTAGGATCGGACGGTAAGGGACATTCAAAATTTTACTTAGGAATACATGGAAAAAATCTTTAAAAATCTTCTTCTCAAGAAAAGCTAAGCCATAATTGGTCACATTTATAAGGAAACATCCTCAGGTAGTGTAGATTCAATTTTTTTTCAAATCATGACCCCCAGGGGTAGGATGGGGTCACAATGGGCAATCAAAGTTTTACATAGGAAAACATTGGAAAAATCTTTAAAAACTCTCTTCTGTAGGACAGCAAAGCCTTGATTGGTCATATTAACAAAGAAGCATTCTCTGGTATTGTAGATTCGAATTTGTTCAAATCATGACCCCTCAGGAGTAGAGAGGGGCCACAATAGGGGATCAAAGTTATACGAAGGAATATAAAGGATAAATCAATAAAAAAAAAATTCTTCTCAATAACAGCAAGGCCATGATTAGTCATGTTAATTCAGAAGCATCTTCAGGTAGTGTAGGATCAAGTGTGTTCAAATCATAACCCCTGGGGTAGGGCAAGGCCACAATAGAAGATCAAATGTATAGGAAAAATTCTTGAAAAATCTACTTAAGCCATGATTAGACAAGGAAATATGGAAGCATCCTTAGGTAGTGTAGATTCAAGTTTGTTTAAATCATCCCCCACCCCCCAACTCTGCTTTTTTTCCTAGCCAAAGTGTTCAGGTGAGCAATGTGGCCCATGAGCCTCTTGTTTTTGTTTTTTGAAATGATATATCAGATAGGTGCATGTGTAAAGGCATGTAAATTATACTTTATCAGATTCTCATAATATAGTAGTCAATGATTATTTGTCAAATTATCAAATGAATCTAATGATGTCTGACTTAATATCAGGTCTGTGTTGTCTGACTTAATATCAGGTCTGTGTTCAAGATTGTAACAGCTAGCCTAGCTGCTAGGCTAGATATCTAGGTCATAATGAATACACTGTATGAATTAATGCTTGTTATGCTTAGGCAAGCATATCATTCAAGATCATAGCAGCTACACAGAGCAACATAACCACTAAGATCTTGAAAGCCTAAGATGTCATCTCAGCATATGCAGTATTTTCAAATTATAATTCAGGTTCTGACTTTGAAATAAGCCTGTAACATTTGTTTCTTTTCAGAAAAAAAGCTTTTATCTTTATTCAAAAATTCAAAATAACCACATTTCTAAACCCCCATTTCAGGGGACAAGGTTTACAATTCAACTTTTTTCTTCTCATCTTCCTATATTGTAGTATTAATTTTGCCTTGAAATTGTTCAAAACATGCATGGGTAGATAAGCTGTCCATTTTTCTGTAAGTTTTCAATAAAATATAGTAGTTCCTTTGTGTTTCAGACAGTATCCAACAGACTACAAACTGGAGACCTATCTAAAGATAGCTCGCCTGTATTTGGAGGAAGATCCAGTGCAGGCAGAAGCTTACATCAATAGAGCATCTCTATTACAAGCCGACTCTAAAAATGAGGAACTTCAGATTCACTACAAGGTAATGTTACAACTGCTCAGACTATACTGAAAATGAGTTCATAGCCAATAGTTATCATAGGGTGTTTTGATTTTGACGATGAACATCATTTATAGAACACTTTTTATGGGTATACACTAGTTACAAAAACATGGCTGCCTGGTAAATTTTCTTCCTATTCTGACAATTTTGGAGGATAAATGCAGTTCTTACGTGTATCATGCACCCAGTGTTTACTGTACCAAAATGTATGTCAATACTGTTAAAGAAGACTTGTCCTTTTTATGCCTCTGTAATCGAAGATTCGGGGGCATATAGTTTTTGCCCTGTCTGTCCGTCTGTCTGTCTGTCTGTTTGTCCGCAAAAGCTTTAACCTTGCCCATAACTTTTGACTTGTTGGAACTATGACTTTCATATTTCACATGTATATTCCTTGTGACAAGACCTTTCTTGGGTACCATCACATTTGACCTTTTGACCTTGACCTTGGAGTTTGACCCACTTTTGCAAAATTTTATGAGACTTTAACCTTGGCCATGACTTTTAAACAGTTGGTGCTTGGGCTTTCATACTTAATATGTGTAATCCTTGTGACAAGATTTTTCTTTGGATTTCAACATCTTTAACCCTTTGACCTTGGAGTTTGACCTACTTTTGAAAAAACTTTAACCTTGACCTTTAGAGCTGGGGCTTTCATACTTCATATGTGTATGCCTTTGAAAAAAACCTTCCCTTGGATACCAACAACTTTGACCTTTTGACCTTGACCTTGGAGTTTTATCTACTTTAATTTTGAAAAACTTCAACCTTGGCCATAACTTTTAAACAGTTAGTGCTAGGGTTTTCATACTTCACATGTCTATTCCTTGTGAAAAGACCTTCCTTGGATACCAACATCTTTGATCCTTTGACCTTGACCCTTGAGTTTGACCTACTTTTGAAAAATTTTAACCTTGACCATAACTTTTAAACAGTTAATCCTCAGGCTTTCATACTTCACAGGTGCATTCCTTGTGACAAGATCTTCCTTTGGATACCAACAGCTTTGACCCTTTGACCTTGGAGTTAGACCTACTTTGAAAGAACTTTAACCTTTGAACGTTTGGTTCTAGGGCTTTCACATTTCATGAACATGTATATCACTTGTGACAAGACCTTCCCTTGGGCACCATTTGACCTTGACTTTGATGTTTTACTTACTTTTAAAAAACTTTGACCTTTGTCATAACTTTTCAACAGTTGGTGCTAGGGCTTTCATATTTCACAAGTATATTCCTTTAGACAAGACCTTTCTTTGAGTACCAACATTTTTGATCTCTTGACCTGGAGTCTGACTTGCATTTGAGAAACTTTAACCTTCACCATGAGCTGCCATACAGGGGCATCAGTGTTTCACAAACACATCTTTTTTTTTATACCCCCGCTCCGAAGGAGAGGGGGGTATACTGTTTTACCCTTGTGTGTCTGTCTGTCTGTCTGTCCGTCTGTCTGTCTGTCTGTCCGTAACAAATTTTGGTTGCAGTTTTCTCAGCAACTACTCATTGCAGATGCTTGAAATTTTAGCACAATCTTTGTTTAGGCATGCCATATGGTGGGATTTATTTTTGTACGAATTTGATGTCAACTTCCTGTTTATCCGTGCGTTTGTCCGTACCATACATAAAAAAATTTGGTCGTAGTTTTCTCAGCAACTACTCATCGCAGATGCTTGAAATTTTAGCACAATCTTTGTTTAGGCATGCCATATGGTGGGATTCATTTTTGTACTAATCCGATGTCAACTTCCTGTTTATCCGTGCGTCTGTCCGTATCACACATAACAAACTTTGGTCGCAGTTTTCTCAGCAACTACTCATCACAGGAGCTTGAAATTTTAACACACTCTTTGTTTAGGCATGCCATATGGTGGGATTTTTTTTTGTACTAATCTGATGTCAACTTCCTGTTTATCCGTGTGTCTGTCCGTACCACACATAACAAACTTTGGTCGCAGTTTTCTCAGAAACTTCTCATCACAGGAGCTTGAAATTTTAACACACTCTTTGTTTAGGCATGCCATATGGTGGGATTCATTTTTGTACGAATCCGATGTCAACTTCCTGTTTATCCGTGCGTCTGTCCGTACCACACATAACAAACTTTGGTCGCAGTTTTCTCAGCAACTACTCATCATAGGTGCTTGAAATTTTAGCACAGTCTTTGTTTAGGCATGCCATATGGTGGGATTCATTTTTGTACGAATCCGATGTCAACTTCCTGTTTATCCGTGCGTCTGTCCGTACCATACATAACAAATTTTGGTCGTAGTTTTCTCAGCAACTACTCATTGCAGATGCTTGAAATTTTAGCACAATCTTTGTTTAGGCATGCCATATAATGGGATTCATTTTTGGAACAAATCCGATGTCAACTTCCTGTTTATCCGTGCATCTGTCCGTACCATACATAACAAATTTTGGTCGTAGTTTTCTCAGCAACTACTCATCGCAGATGCTTGAAATTTTAGCACAGTCTTTGTTTAGGCATGCCATATGTTGGGATTCAGTTTTTACAAATCCGATGTCAATTTCCTGATTATCACTGTGTTTGTCCATAACCGAACTTGTGTATTCACATCAGAGCGGGGGTATTATTAGTGAGCATTGGCTCACAGACTTCTTGTTTTTTTTTTTTGTTTTTTTTTTTGATGAATAAAAAGGAAAGACTTATTTTGTTCTCATCTTTAGTGGTTGAATTAAAAACTGGTATAATTTAACAAAAGATTTATGGATCATAAGTGATAAGTTTTTAAAAATGCTCAAAATTGTTTTTGATTTACCAAACAACATGATTGTTTAGAATTTTCCATCATTTACTACATTCATATAATGAATTAGCATTAATTAAAGTTTTACAGGTGTTTATTAAAGCAAATATATGAGCTACAACTTTGATGTCGGAAATTCTTCTGGAAAAAATTTGATACTTTATATTAGTCTAATGATCATAAATGTTTAAAATTATATACAGATTTATCATAATAGCACATTTTAACAGAAAAATAAAATACTCAAAAATGCAGCTCATATTGCTTTAAAGTGTTTGAGATGCAAACAAATCAGGGAGTTCATTTCAAAAACACTCTACATATCTATATTATAATTGCATTTGCAAATATTTTCTACAATAGTTTATATATGCATGCATATATATTTTTGAGGAATCAATCTTTAAATAGAGTACCATAACATTAGTTCAAGTGATCATTTCTTTTTAGGCATGCTATGCACGGGTTCTAGACTACAGAAGAAAATTTATTGAGGCTGCACAAAGATACAATGAACTTTCCTACAAAACTATAGTAGCAGAAGAAGAAAGAATGCAGGCCCTGAAAAATGCCCTCATTTGTACTGTTCTTGCCTCAGCAGGTAAATAAATCTTGTATTGACCACATAAGGAACATATTTATGTTATTGCCTACTTAATTCTCTACCCTTTTAATTGAGAATTTTAAAGCAAAAAAGTGGAAGAATTTGGAAATATTGATTTCTTAATATATTAATTACTGTTGAATAAAGTGTTAAGTTAAATTCCTATGCACATCTTAATGAATCATTAAAATTTCAAAATTCAAGTTTTTTGAATATAAAAAGTACTGAAAAATTCAATCTGCTTGTCATTTGGGAATTTTTGGAAAAGAGTAAATTTTATTCTAAAAAATTAGAGTAAATTAGAGTAAAAGAATAGAGTAAAATTTATAAAGCAAATTTCAATTGGGACAGAGCCCTTTTACTGGACCTGGATGCAAGAGTTATTAAGGTCTGCTACTATATTTAATTTATGCCCTGCCCTTTAGATGGCTGGAGCACACTGTAATAGCCCAGTTTCAAAGAAACTGTTCAAGATATTTTTATCTACATATAAAATGATACAACTAAGTGAGAGCTTTTCATTAGTGTCATAATTTTCTGAGCGTAATCCCTTCCCTATGACCTTGGCCTCACTATTCCTCAGTTTGCCTTATTTTCAAAATAACTTTAAACACTTTGAGATATTTTCATCAAACTTCATGCACTTTTTGACCTTGAACCTTCCTTATCTAATTCTAGTCAATTATAACAAGGTATTTGAAAAATAGACTTATATCCAAAGGACATGAATGCCCTGCCCAATGATATATTTGTATTGTACCAAGAGAATAAATGTACTGTACTTTATTATTCAGTCCAAGATAAAAGTAAAATATATAGTTTTTTTTTCATATACAGACCTGATAACTTTAATAAAGTTGTTCCCTTTTGTAGCATGGTTTGTAGTGTTTATTCATCCCATCTATCTAGCACCTATATAATATCTGTTTCAAGTTACATGTATGTGTAGCAAATTTATAGTCATGTATTATGATCTAAAAGGTAGTTATGGTTAACATGGTTAAAATGCTCTCACAGAGATTTATTTGTGTTTGGAGTTGTATGATGTAATCCATTAAGGAATTCAATAAGATGAACTAAGAGCAAAAAGAGGAAAAAGTTAAGTTCATGGTCATAGGTTAGATCAAGGACAGAAAATAGAGAAGCCATTTTATTTAACACTGTATGAAGTTTGATGAAAATAATTTGATCTAGCTGTTTCTTTGAACTTTAAAAATGAAATTCAAGGCCATATGGGAAGGTCAAGGTCAAATAATCATGAGATAGTTAAATTACTCTTGTATCAAAATATGAAGTTTGATTAAAATATCTTGGAAACAAACCAAAATTGTCTATACATTTTAAGATACAGTGAGAATATGGGAAAATATGATCCCCACTGTGGGTGATTCTTAGTAAGTTATAAACGTAACTGCATGTCATTTTGGCTTTATACATATACAGTTGCAAAATATATAATTTTGATAGATATTTAGAATTTGACAACTATAGGGCCAGTAATGCATACCTGGCATTGTTTGCTAAGAATGCATATAGTCTTAATTATTCTTCTTTAAGAAGACAGTGCTTGTATATTTGGGATGAAGGCCTAGATTGTGGAAAACTGCATCCCATTGCAAAGAGTGCTGTGCATATCTTGTCCTTATTGTGATAAAAAGTTTAAAATCAGTAAGAATACTCTATTGTAGGAAAAAAGATCAAAATTCTCTTCTTCAAGTGTGCTTATGAAAAATGAATCAATATTTTATTCCAATTGTAGGTCAACAGAGATCCAGAATGCTGGCAACACTATTCAAAGATGAACGCTGTACTCAGTTACCTGCATACAACATTTTGGAGAAAATGTAAGATTATATAATACACTGTGTGGAAGAAAAAAATGATTTAATAGTGCAAAAATATAAATCTTACTCTTTAAATCAGCTGAATCATGCAGGTGTCTTATTTTTTTTCTATGACCTCGCACAATATTTACTCTAATTGCAACATGATGGTATTCACTTGCCCCTCTTAAAAACTTAATACATGTCAAGTGTTTAAAAAATAATGGACCAAGACAAGAACAAGAAGGGTATCAATTTCAGACTGTGAGGCTATAGTACCATCAAACTTGTTATGTGATGCACCTTAGGGGGAATGCTGTCACTGTCTTCACCCAAAAGTAGCTTGTGGCGATCTTATTGTGTTGCCTGCAGAGCAGAGTGACACTTACTAATCACTTTACTGGGTTTCTGTCTCTCCGTCCGTCAATTCTTAGATCTCGAGAACTGTAGTAGTATGGATTTGTTATTTTGGTCATGTATTGCTTAACACTATGACTCAGGTGAGCATTGTGGCCCATGGGCCTCTTGTTTAAAATACCATGCTTACCGACCTCTGACTTTTCAACTTGACTTTTGACCTACTTTTCAAAGTAATTCTTAATGCTGATATAAAGTATATTTTTAGCTTACCTAAGCCAAAGGCTCGAGTGAGCTTTTCTTATCTATGTGTGTCCAGCATCCGTCTGTCGGGTGTTTGTCTGTCGTCTGACATCTGTAAACTTTTCACATTTTTTACTTCTTCCCAAGAGGTCAGTTTCAACCAAACTTGCCACAAAGCATCCTTGGGTGAAAGGGATTTAAGTTTGTTCACAGGATTCATCCTCTTTCAAGGGGAGGGTGGGGTGACAAAAGGGGATCAAAGTTTTACATAAGAGTATACAGGAAATATGTTTAAAAATCTTCTTCTCAAGAACAGCTAAGCCACTGTTAGTCATATTAAAACAGAAGCATCGTCAGGTAGTGTAGATTCTAGTTTGTTCAAATCATGACCCATGGGAGAAGGTAGGGGCCACACCAGGGGATCAAAGTATGTTGTTCCAGATAGTGTATCCTGTACCCTAGCTGTACACTTCATTATATCCATTGACACATTATTTAGTTACAAGTTTTATGTCCATCCTATCTCCACAAGCTGGGTTTGTGGAAATAGAATGGACACAAAACCCATGGCATGTGACAATGCATTATATCAAGTCTTTTGAAAGCTTAAATTCTTAGCTTGTAGTTAGTTAACATTAAATTACTTTTTTTTTTTGTTAAATAGGTATTTAGATAGAATTATTCGTAGCAGTGACTTACAGGAGTTTGCAGCACTGCTTCGACCTCACCAGAAAGCAGTTACAGCTGATGGTAGGTAATACTGAAAAAAGTACTTAATCCAGAGACTTTGATGGCTCTGCTTCACTTACATATTGAAGACATTACCTGATTTGCAGTACATGAACTATAACATTGGAATAACTGGTACAAATATATAGAGATCTACAGTAAGAAACCCATAGTTGGTCAGATTCAGAAGCAAGCATCGTTTTGATGCATCTTCAATCTTTATTGATTTAAAATTGATGTTTGCCCATAGCATCTACGACAGGAATTTGACCACAATAAGGTTATAGGCTTTTACAATTTTAAGATATATGAATTTTTAAAAAATTTTAAATGAGTATTGAGAGTTTTTAACATATTCACCAAGTTGAACATGATGGACCTAAGGAACATAAACTCTTTTTATTTTTAGTAGATGCATATAATTTACCTGCTAGATTTCCTGGAAAAAGATGTAATGCTTTTAGGTCATCTGAGTCAATCAGTGACCTACTTGTATTGGTTTTCATCCCACATCAAAGTTATAGTCCACTAATTTTTCACACTTTATACACCTCCATTACCGCTAGCTAAATTTCAAAGTAAACTTGCTATAAAACATCTTTTGTTGATTGGATTTAGGATTTCAGATTTCTCGAATTGAAGGGTCTGTCCCTTTGCTATTAGGGAGATACTTGAAGGAATAGTGAAAGTAAGATGTGTAATCTTCTCAATATATGTTAAGTGAAGCTTCCTTGTGTTATGAAAATTCAATTTTTTTGGACCTTCGCCTGTTAGGTTGGAAGGAGCCACAAAAAGAACCAAATTCTACACAGAAATATGTAAATAGGGTGTATAGAAATTTTTTTTATCTAAAATATTCTCAAGATTCATAAGCCTTCAAATTATCAAACTTTAATTCAAGCATCCTCTTGTGTAGGTGCATGTTTGTTTAAACCATATCCACTAGAGCCAGAATAGGGCCATAAAAGGGTTACAGGGTTTTATACAAAAATATATCACATTACATATCAGCTTATATCTAGTCAGTACTGTAAGTCATTCAACCTTCTGCTTTTGAAAAGTTTTACAGATTTATCTATTCTGCAATGCCCAGGATAAAGTATTGGAATATTTGTTTCAATTCTTCTTTACTTTTTTGTTTGTGTGCTTCTTTTACCATATGTTGACTTAATCTCAAATGATTGACAAAAAATTCATAAATAGAGAACACTTTGTGGTATGTAGGTAGAATCCCTAAAAATTTCAATAACAACAGGGCTTTAAATTGACAAATTCATTTGCAAGAGCCCAGATTTAAGTTTATTGAGTATTACCCCCTATCCCCAGTTCTAGATGAGACTCAATTTCGGGGTCCAGTTTTACATTTTTTAAAAATTTGTTCAAGATAAGCATTACAACATGTACTCTAATTAATGCAAAAATATTCCTATGTGGTGTTTTTTTTTTGTTGGGAGGGGTGGGTTTGTTTTTTGTTTTGTTTATTTTTTAATCATGTCCACCATGGTTGGGCACAGTTGTTTGGTAAAAATTAGTATTGACTTATTAATGCAGGCATGGGCATATTGATAAAAGCACCTATAATATTATTTTCAGAGCAGAGTGTAGATAAAATATTAAGATGCATTTTTTCTTCTTCCTTGGACATAATCTCTGTACTTAAACATGTTTTTTATCTGTTCATTTATGAAAAGATGTTCAAAAAACAGAGAATTAAGTGAGTGTGTAGGTTGAGTGAACTTTATCAATCATGAAAAAAAAGAATAAGTAAGTGACAATTTTTTTCAATATGGTCACATTTCCAATCATATTCTTTATCCACTGTTGAAAGTGATAAATATTCCCGTTTAAACAAGTCACTGACCATCAAGGCTTTAGTACAGATTACGATATACATGTATATCTTTTTGGTCACCTGAGTCACTGAGGTTTCAAGATTGTTCAATCTTTCCCCTATTCCTATGCACAAAAAGGGGTTCATTTATTCACATTTATATAGGAAAACTGTTTATCTATATACGAGGGTCATCCCAAAATTCTGTAGACTGAGCTCATGTACATCTTTTACAGAAATTAATGTATCTTTGTAATTGGGGGGGGGGGGGGGGTTAAAAAGTGTGTTGTTGGTTGATAACATCGGTGATCACTTGAATATAATTCGAGAAATAAGAATTGTAGTGTCATCGTTCCTTAGAGCATTCCCTGACATCAAAAACGATGAACATTCCCAATTCAGTTTTCTGGGATGAAATACACTAATTACCAGAATCAAATTCTTGTATTTATCGTAAAGATTCTAGATATAAATATCATATATCTTAATCATTGTGATATGATTTAACATTAAAATAAATGAATAAAATATGTACTTGTATATGTATTAAATGATAATTTTTTTAAAAAAACTGTTTCTGTGGGTTTTTCATTTGTCTTCTCTAATGGAGTTGCACAGTGTCACCCTTGTCTGATTCTTCGGTCAGTCTTTTTTAGTTTCGCTTCTAATTCACATACTTGGAAAAACTGTATCGGTCCTTTTTATACACTAAGGACCGGAAAACATTTCCACGTGTACCATTCTAGGAACCATGTAGGACTTATGAACTTCTGTAGGAGTGAATTCAAATTCAAAACATTTGATAGCAGTCCAGTGTGCTGCCTATGTCAACACAGCCGCCATTTTTGAACAAATCCGATTTCAAACTGGTGCATATAAAAAACCTTATAAAATTCATATCAATCAAAATTTGAGGAAAGGTAATTAACAATATAATATTAAGAATTTTTATTTTTATTCCCAAAATGTTGGGTGGTTAATGCTTTTCCATTGGATTATGTATTTTATATACCAATACCAATGTGCCACTTTCTTACCCCAGGAAATGAAATTTTTTATGTAAATAATGTTCATCTGTGTAATTACTTAATTTTTGTCCATAGATTTATTAGTTATTGTTGGTTTAATTCATTTACAAAGTTTCATTCATTTATGACACTGGGTTCCTACAAAACTATGCTTGTCTATGGAATTTTGGGACAACCCTCATATAAATAATTTACAAGGTTACAAACTGGTTCGAATCCCACTGTGTGATGTGGAGACTGGTCCTTCAGATGAGACCGTATCAACTGACGTCCCGTGTCGCAGTAGGTGCTGGCACAAAAAAGATCCCTCACTGCTCAGTGGCCCTGAGTGACAAGCATAGGTCATAATTTGCAGCTCTCCACTGGCAAGTAGTGGCATCTCCATATGAGTGAAAAATTCTCAAGAGGGACGTTAAACAATAAAAACAAACAAACGAACTGTAAAAAAATTTTTATTAATCTTTATACAAGACAGAGTCTAGTTAAGATATTCAATTCTTTACTTTGTTTTATCAAAAAAATTGATTAAAATTATCTAATTATGTGTATTATGAATATATCCTTATGTATTGTAAATTCAAATTTTGAATCTTTGCCCATTGGGCTAAATGGACATGTATGGGGCTCTCAAGTGTTGCCTAGGGATGATAAATAAAGAACACATATACATGTAGTGGCTTAGAAAAAAAACAAACTTGCATTGTCTCAGGAGACAGTTATTAATCAAACATTCAGAGGAGTTTCTGTTGACACCTCAATATATGGCAGACATGTCTTTATAGATTCTCTTCAGGCTTATCTCAACTGTTAGGAGAATTTAACATTCACTGTAAAAGCTTTTGGGTTTTGTCATTTGAAGAGACAAATTTTTCCTATTTGAAACTTACTTTTTAAAATGCTGTAAACTTTTATTCCTTAGTTGGTAAAAAAAAGATGTTATTACTAAACATTTTATTACCCAAGACTACATGATAGGAGTTCAGTTATTAATGTCCCTATATTAAAATTCTCTACAATAATTGTCTTAAATTGGTAGTCTGCTGCACTAAACTGAAGATTCTTATAAAAACTGCTTCTTTCGTCAATCAGTAAAATGCCAGTTAGAACCATTTTTTCAAGCCAGGTCCTGTATAGATTTCTTGAGCATTGTGCTTTTCAATCAATCAAACATACGAAGACTTACATATCAATAATACAATATTTAAACCTACTTTTATAGGATTATTTATACAGATATAAATATAAACAATAAAATATCCTACTTTGTTTTTAGTACAATAATTGAAGGTTGCAGCTGTCGCAGAAAAAATATACATAACCTGCTTTCGCAGATTATAAATATACGAGGGGTTATCAAAAAGTTCGTGGATTAGCACCATAAAATTAAAACCGCTTTAAGTACATCAATGAATTTTAAAATACTTAGTTAGCATCATCTTTTCTATCTATAAAATAAACCACAAATCATAAGTTTTAATCTTTAATAAATTAGTATTGGTTTTGTAAGCAATGGTATGTCCAGGCGGCGCAACCTCGAACAGGACGTGTTTTTTTTTTCAGCCCGAGTGTAACTGAGAAAAACTCTTTTGATACGAGTACTTGACATCCAAAAATCCAATTAATTTAGACATGTGACGGGACACAATTGTTCCGTTCCACAAAATGTGCAATTTTAATCTCATTCTGTAAGTTCTATGAAATTTTATGGTATTTTTTATAAGGAGTGCCCAAACAATTAAGGGCTTAAAATGACGTCAAAAAGGGGGAGGGGTTTCTTATTCAACATTCTGTAAAGTTTAACCCTGAAAAAACTGGCATGAGCCTAGGGAATGTTTAAACTGTCTATAGAGAAATAAAATCCATCCAGAGTACTTGTTTTTAAAAAACCAAACGAGATTCAGTCAGATGAGAGATGCACAGTTTATGTCGATTTGTAGTCACAAGGTGTGTAAAGTCAATCACGTCAAAGAGTAACGTTGATCATGTGTGGTAGATATTGAACTCAGCAAAACATGCTGGCATAATCAAGCGAGAATCTTTCCCTATGTATAGATTCATTTACAATTTTATATGCATTGAAATCAGCTGTTCATGACATTATCATGTCATATAAACAAAACTGGTTTCAGTTTTACTTAACTCCAGGGAATCTCATCAAAGTAAGTGTATTGAGACAGAGGGAGTGTGCATTGAGAAATAATGACGTTGTCGGACGTCATGAAACTAAAAGACGACAGCGCCGGGTAATCATATAATTTCTTCTTTATTTTATAATAATTTCACTAATTATCAACGTATCAAGCTAAAATTTTCAAAACTTCTTAAACTTTTGTTGTTTAATGTTCCTTATAAATTTTGTAAACACAGACTACATAGTATTAATTTTATCACATCAGTCCACGAACTTTTTGATAACCGCTCGTATTTTTTCTGCAATAGCTGACAACATTTATTTCCATACTAACAAACAAACAAAGCATTCTGTTGTTTAACGAAGAAGAAAATGAAGAGTAGTTGAAAAAAAAATGATTCTGGACAAAGATGATTTTGTGGATTAGCATACTGTAGACATACTTTTTTTCCACGTGGGCTTAATTTTTGCTAGGTACGCTGTCACAAATTTTTCCATGGAAATTTGCCACAGCATACTAAAACTACATTCAAGAGATAGAATGACAGTTCAAGAAATCCTTGTAATTTTCTGCCTGTAGATTAAATAGAAATTGTGATTCCACGGAATTATACCTCATGGAAAAAAGTACCTTTACAGTACTTCTACACAATGGTTATTTATTGACAGGCTCGAGCATACTGGATAGGGCAGTGATAGAACATAATCTGCTGTCAGCAAGTAAGCTCTACAACAACATTTCCTTCGCAGAACTTGGATCCCTATTAGAAATTCCACCTTCAAAGGTATATTTATACATCTAGTGTTGCATTTATAATAGTTAAGAGTTGCATAAAATTATGATCTATTGTCTAAAATTTGGCAAAGATACAAGATAAAAGAAGTCATTTTTATATTGAATTACAAAATGCCTGTAAAATTACACTATTATTTCCTTTCTGACAGGCGGAGAAGATAGCGTCTCAAATGATCACAGAAGGACGTATGCATGGCTGTATAGATCAAATTGATTCTATTGTGCATTTTGAAGGTAAATTACTCTTTAAGAAATATTTCTTTGTCAGAAGTATTAGCAAAATTTCAAGACCAAAGGATTTGTTATGTTCCAGCAAGCAGGAAGAAAAGTTTGTTCTGTTGCTTAGAAATTTGTCATGCTTTTACAGCTCTTGTGCAAAAATTGATCTAATAATAGTTGTATTACTTGGCTTATTTCACCTGATGATGTGCAGAGTTTTTTTCACAACACTGGACTGAAATATATATGCAAAAAATAATTGAAAAGGCAAAACATGCTTGAAAATATTCCATGTTTACTATCATAACAAATCATCTTTTCTAGAAAAGGAATTGTAGAAATCATGACAGTAATGTTATTTGATAGTTACAAACACATGTAGGTAGGGGATTTTTTTTAATGGGCTTGATTATAGATGAGTATTACATGTATAATGATCAAGTACATGTACTTACAAATATAAAATCAAAATAGTTGTTGATGGGGTGAGAAAATTCTCCAATGATTAAAAAAGAATAATTGTTTCCTTGAGGTTTAAAAAAGTTTTGAGTTGGGCCATTTTTAGTCAGTCGATTGGGAGAAAGCAAACAGACATTTTTTTAAAGATGGCCTAATCATGAAGTTTTTAGCTCTTCTGAGCCAAAGGCTCAAAGAGCTAATGCTATGGCCATTTGTGCGGTGTGCGTAAACTTTTTAGAATATGGGCCATAACTCAAGAACCCCTTGGCCAATTATTGTCAAATTTGTGACAGGGTATCCTTGGCCCAAGGGCTCCCTTTTATACTAAAACTAGGGTTGTGACCCTTTAACAAGGGGAGATAATTAGGAAAATTGAAACAAAAGTACTGGTTGCTAAAAAATCTTCTTCTCAAGAACCACTGGGCAGATTATTACCAAACTTACACAAAAGGATGAGGATATGTTGTAGATTAAAATTTGCATGGGGATTTACCCTGGGGCAAAGGGCATGGTCTCAAGGTCACTTCAAAGTTGACCAAAAATTACATTTTATTAAAATGTTGATATTTTGCTTACTACATTATAATTTATTTATTCTTTTAACAAAACTCAAACAAGGGTGCTAATGAATGAAATAGTTATCAGGAAAACGAACTTATGAGAATCTTAGATTATAGAATTGGAATCTGATTTAAAGGATTCTGAGTGATATTTAAAAAAAGAAACGCATTCTTATTTATCTATTAATGGATACAATATTAAGGTGTTTCCTAATTATTAGTTCACGTTTGGCATGTGCAACTCCGATAGGTGTTATTGTGTAAACGTACGGCAGGCAGTTTTTAACACCTAGGAAACATATTATTTGTAGAAACCCTAATTAACTGTTTTGTATACACAATGTGTCCTGATTATCTCGTGATTTTCACCTCAATTTGTATTGTGCACTGCTTGGATCAACTGAGAGTACATATGACTTGTCTGTTTATTATGCAATGATTTATGTATTTTTAAACATACAATTGTTAAGTTTACTATGTTACTAAACATGTTTTTTTAGATGCAGTTTAGATAAAAATACATCATATTTAATTCATAACATTACATGATAATTTCTTATAATAATAGAAAGTTTTGTAGTTGTTTGGACGGAGGATAATGCAATGCCCTATTAGACTCAATATATTTTTGTTGGAGTCATCGAATTTAGCTTGAACTTAATCTTGAGACATACTATTTAAAATTTATTTTAAAAAAATGTTAGTGAGACCATTGATGTCTTATAAACATCTTTCTTTAATATTCTATGATGTAGTATTGTAAAACACAGAACTTACATAAATTGGAAAAGAATTTTTCTTGAAAAAGATGAACCTCTATTCAAAGGTCACCTCTCTATAAAGGTCACTTTTAATGATTCCCGCAGGTGACTGCTTAATACAGGTTTGACTGTATAAGGACTAGGATCATCAAATCTTGTCAGTTGATGCATCTAAGGATGAAAAGTAGGTCACCGTGACCTACTTTTGAAAATTTATGGCTTTAATTAGATATTTCAGGTACTAATTGGCTTAGAATCATCAAACTTTGTCAGTTGATGCATCTTGGGTCTTCGGAGTAGGTCTACTGAAAAGTAGGTCACCGTGACCTACTTTTGAAAATTTATGGGTTTAATTAAATATTTCGGGTACTAATTGGCTTAAAATTATCAAACTTTGTCAGTTGATGCATCTTGGGTCCTCGGAGTACAACAACTGAAAAGTAGGTCACTGTGACCTACTTTTGAAAATTTATGGCTTTAATAAAATATTTCAAGTACTTATTGGCTTAGAATCATCAAACTTTGTCAGTTGATGCATTTTGGGTCCTTGGAGTACAACTGAAAAGTAGGTCACGGTGACCTACTTTTGAAATTTTATGGCTGTATTTAATATTTTCGGGTACTATTTGGCTTAGAATTATCAAAATTTGTCAGTTGATGCATCTTGGGTCCTCGGACTAGGTTGACTGAAAAGTAGGTCACTGTGACCTACTTTTGAAAATTTATGGCTTTAATTAAATATTTTGGGTACTAACTGGCTTAGAATCATCAAATTTTGTCAGTTGATGCATCTTGGGTCCTTGCAGTACAACAAATGAAAAGTAGGTCACCATGACCTACTTTTGAAAATTTATGGCTTTAATTAAATATTTTGGGTACTAATTGGCTTAGAATCATCAAACTTTGTCAGTTGATGCATCTTGGGTCCTTGGAGTACAACAACTGAAAAGTAGGTCACTTTGGCCTACTTATAAAATTTTATGGTTATAATTTTAAAAAATATTTTAGGTATTAATTGGCTTAGAATCATCAAACTTAGTTGATGGGTCCTCAGAGAATGACAAGTGATAAGTAGGTCACCTGACCAACTCTCAGGTACTAGTTGGCTTAGAATCATCTTGGGTTCTCAGAATGTGAATTGGAATTTCAAGTGTTTATCTAAATATACAGGATACTCAGAGGCTTCAAATAGAAGTGATAGGTTGTACAGTTTATCAGAAGAGCGATTCAAGGCCCTTGGGCCTCTTGTTTATAAAGGCAAAAACAAGCCCAGATGGAGGAGCAAAAAAAATCTAGATTTCTAAATGTAGATAGACGGAAGTTAGCAAACCTTCATAAATAAATCTGAAATTTATAACATACTCTCACATAATAACCAGGTAAGTAATGTTTTAGATGTTACATGTGTTAGACAAGGAATTAGTTTCAGAAACCCAAGAACAATGAAACGGTGTAAAATCAGAATTTAGATTAAGTTTCATTGTCGACCTTCAATCGATTAGTTCGTTAACTCTTTCCAACCGTTATCAGTTTTTAAGCATTGTTTATACATTTGTGAATATTTATGAATGTAAATCTGCTAATAAAACAGGTAGAATACAGAATATTATAGCAGTTATGAATTAGGTATAAGTATGTACTAGTAATTTTAAATTGGGTAGTTTCTTTTAAGTAAGATTTTTGTGCTCTGATATTCTTTCAGCAAGAGAAGCTTTACCCACATGGGACAAACAAATTCAGAGTCTGTGTTTTCAAGTCAATCAGATAATTGAGAAGGTTTCTCAGTCAGCACCGGATTGGATGATGAAAACCACGGAAACTCAGATGGCTGAGGGTCATTGAAGACTGTGTGAACACCATGAATGGAAAACAGAACATATTGCTTGAACAGAATGTGGTGAACAGGCACCATTAGAGAGAATTAGTGAATACAGTACTGTGTAAGAACAACTCGGAGAAGAATGGAAATTTACATCAAAAATGTCTTAACATGAAAAATGTTACTAGGATAGTTGTTCATTCTGCTGTAAAATATTGCAAGTACTAAAGACAAAAATTATATTTGTAATTTACATACATTCATCAATTTTATAAAATGCCCTGGTGAACATGCAAGAAATATTATTAAAATGAATATATTTGAGTTCCTTAAGGGTCAGAATTTCATAGTATTGACGTGGGTATTCTCTGCTGTTGGAAACTTTTGGGATTTGACCTGAATAATAGTAAATTAATTTCTGCATTTCAATTTCTGTGGTTGCATTGTACAGCAAAAATAAATATCTGCAGGGTGCGACTACCTAGTGTTAAGGATTTGGCAAACCACTACCTTGTTTTACATGATTTGGAGGAATTAATACTTCAGGAATACATGTGTATTTTGCAATTGTTAAATTTTTGCGAAATTCATCATATCAACAAAATTCCACAAAAAATGGATAACCGCAGAAAATACCTGTTATTTGGTATATTCAATTAAAGTTAATTAAAATTACACTGTACAGTAAAACACGCTCTTAGTGAATATGCTTATAATGAATTGATGCTTACAGCAAAGTAAATTTCATTCCCTGTGGCATAATTGTCCATCCCTGGGACTTCGTTATAAGCATGTTTTACTGTATTACAAATGCTATTCAGTACGTTAAGTTTTAAGTTCAATGATGTAAGCTGTCTTGTGGTATAGTTATGTCCATATGTGTCATTAAATGGTTTACACATGCATGTGTGTTGTGTAAGAATTTAATTTGATAAATAGAAACAATCTTCTCTTTGTAAGACCATTAGTATATATCAGTGCATGCTCTAGATATTTTGATTAAAGACAAAGAATACTTGTGTTGGACCACTATTGTTGTCATACCCCCCACTGCATACTATAGATACTCAAGATGTTTCATATTGTGGAGGAACACAGAAAAGTCATTGGTTCACAGAGCTGAAATACTGAAACATGAAGTACACCATATATGTATGAACTGGATTACGTATACCTACAGAGAATCAGTACAAAACATATTACAACTACAAACACCATATTGAACTTGTCTTTAAATTTATTAGTCAAGCATCAATACAAAACAATATGCTATGTATTTCAGTGGTTTTAGTCCTTTAGTTTACCCTTTAAAGAATAAGGGGTTGGGACTTCCAAATCACTTCGACATATCTATGGTATTCGAGATATCAGTGTTCGAGATATCGAAGTTCAACTGTGTATATATATATAGAGAGAGAGAGAGGGACAAGACTTTATGATTGATCAACAATGGTATGTAACTAGCAAAAACATGTTTGACATATGTAAAATTAACAGTTTCTTACAATAAAATTTCAGTGGGATAATTTCATTTGAAATTCCTGAAAACGACGTAGTTGTGCCTTGGTCTGTGAATATATTACCCAGCCCCCACCCCCGTGGTAAAAAAGAACTTTGATATGGCTTTGCCAAAAACAGTTTATGCTATACCTGTTAAAGGGATTTTTTTGTTTCGCGGGGGGGGGGGGGGGTTAAAAATGTCCGTTTTCCATTGACTTCTATAGCGAAATGCGAAACTTCATTCACAATATGGTAACTTGAGAAAATTGACTCTCAGTTATGTGGCGGAATAATATTGTTTTTGGCAGTCCTATCATAATTTGAAGTTTATAATTAGGAATTAGGGACATGGTCACTGTCCAAATGATCTTGACGTAGTTTTTAGGTCAAGAGCATCCTTTATTCCCTTGCGCCAAGTTTGAGTTTCTACAATTTTTTTTCAATCCTCCATTAAAAATTTATATGCCTTACATATAAGGTTGAATATAAACATACATAAACGAAGTCTTACAGACAGAGAGAGATCTCTTATAATTATGGGATGCACAAAACATTATTGTAATTAAAATATGTACATTGAAACATGAAAATATGAAAGAGAAAAAAAAATCTAAATTTTGTTAGATTAATCTGAAAATACCAGATTACAGGTTCAAATGATATATCTACAAAGTTTGAATAAAAACGTATTTAATAGTATTAAAGATATCTGCCTATTGGAAGTCAGATAGACAGAGTGAGTCCAGGGTGGGGGATAAAAATTTTATTTTTCCTCCACATCATAGAACTATTTTCATTATGATATACAAGCATCATAAAATGGTTGAAAGAAAGTATTAAAAGTAATATATCACACACATTCTGAAAGACAATCACCGCATTATGTCACCGTGAATAACTTAATTATTCTAGCCTGGTGGGACAGTGGTGATGGCGTCCATTCCTAGGTGTGGTCTGGTGGAGGCCTCTAGAAGGCTGAACCAGTTAATGGTGACATTCCTGAGTGGGGGCCTCACGCTTGGAGTACGAGAGGCACTGGTATGCTCAGGGGGAAGCACATGATAAACAAAGATGTCCGTAGTGACACACTGAAACAGTATCACACCTCCCACAAGGAATATGTACCAGTACTTTTCAGGCCCCTGCAATCGAAAAATGAATATTTAGTAATGAAAGAAAAATCTTTTCTTTAACATTTCCTAACAGTTACAAAGTGCCAGTTGTATAAATCCCTATTACCTGTAGTTCAGTTATTTTTTCCGGATATTAATGTTAGCGCTTATTAATAATCACCAAAAAATAATATGATAAGCACTAGTGACACATATGTTGAAGTTCGAATACGCTAAAATAAACGAAATTACAATTTATACACGTACAATGTTTCTCCCTTTTTCATTTAAAATGAAATGGATGAATACTTTGTTATTTCTTGACCGATTCTGGTTTTGCATACAGTATGTCGAGTATGCACTTATGTTGTAATTCACACTGACGTGCTTAAATGAGAAAAGGCGAGTTAATTCCGATAGACATCTTAAGCAATATGGTCTTATCAAATTTACCTTTTTTTAATCTTTAGCTTCTCATGAGAAACGGTAACTGGCTAATTATTGTTTGCACAATTTAATGTAACAAAAAATTATGATACTCACTAAATCACCCGATTTGTACCACCAATTCTGAAATCAAATTAAAAGGAATTTTATAAAGTGTCTCTAAAAAGTAACCTAGAGTAATGGCAACGGTGTTGTAGAGTAGGATTTCCCCCATAGCCAACTTTCCCCCCGGAATATGTACTCTAGAGTAGGGTTTCCCCTAAGGGGGAAATCGCACACTAGAGCCAATTTTCCCCCTCTTTCTTTTTCAGAGTAGGATTTCCCCTCTTCAATCAATGCTTAAATCTTATCGACAATATTTTGGCTAATAGTTTATATGAAAGTCAAATGATTTTTTAATGGAAATATGATTGTTTTCGATTCAAGAATTGTCAAATTTAATACGAAACCTTAAAATATATAGTTCAAATCACTAAGTCCCAACCCAAATTTTTAACTTGTATTTTAAGCCCCCCCCCCTTTAACAGACACAGAAAAACATGTGGTCATATTGCTATTTGCACCCTCATATTCCACTGGATAGACAGTAGTGTATTCTTAATAGTTTTTAAAACTTGATTGACGCTCTGGGCATATATATATGTTTTTGTGATTTGTTTCGTCTTTTCGAAGGGGGAGGGGAGGTGCTTTCGATTTCAAATGGGTTTTTTTTTTTGTTTTTCAATGTAGTCCATGTACATGTACCATTTTTCTGCAAATTTGCAATTTCAAATGAGATTGATTAGGTCTGTAGTGCAGTACTGAAGGAAAGAATGAAAAGAAAAATGTTAATTATGACACAAATAATTAAGGAGAAACTAATATCAGTAAATAGAAAACGTATGTAAAATACTATTGTGTTCATTTATTATTGAAATCATTTGCATAAAAACAAACTTGACACATTTGCCTGATTTTGAGTGTTTTAGTACTTTGATTTTAAAATTTGAAAACGTTTTCAAATACAGTACAATCAAACTTCGTTATCTCGAACTCGTTTTGTCAGATGTCCAGGAGTTCAACATATTGAAGTTAAATACTTGAAGAAAAAGTTATAGGGATTTCCAACTCACTTCAACATACCCATGGTATTCGAGATACGTTTTTGAGATACTGAAGTTTAACTGTATTTTAAAAATCACTTTTACAAATCAAAACAAGTTAAACTGATGCAAAGCATCAAATCGACCTAAAAATATATTTAGAATATAAAAGTAAAGAGTCCACAAGAAAGAGTCCAAAAAAGAAAATCAAAGTAGAAATAATATATGTTACTTTTTTTTTTTTTTTGCAAAACTGTACACTTGCCTTACTTATCTGTGCATTTTTATACCCCCGTAATCGAAGATTCGGGGGTATAGTATTTGCCTTGTCCCTCCGTCTGTCTGTCTTGCTGTCTGTTTGTCCGCAAAAACTATAATCTTGCCCATAACTTTTGATTGGTCAGAGCTATGGCTTTCATATTTCACATGTGTATTCCTTGTGACAAGACCTTCCTTTGGGTACTAACATATTTGACCTTTTGACCTTGGAGTTTGACCAACTTGTGCAAAAAATTACCCAACTTAAACTTTGGCCATAACTTTTGAACAGTTGATACTAGGGCTTTCGTAGACTTATCGCGACAAGACCTTTCCATGAATGTAATTATTTTTTACCCTGACTTTATAGTTTGACCAACTTAAAAAAATTTAACCTTAGCCATAACTTTTGAACAGTTATAAGTAAGGCTTTCATATTTCACAGGTATATTCCTTGTCACAAAACCTTCCTTTGGAATCAACAATGTAACCTTTTGACCATTACCTTTTTTTTGAAAAATTTTAACCTTCGCCATGACTTTTGAACAGTTGGTGCTAGGGCTTTCATATTTTGCATGTGTATTTCTTACGACAAAGTCACAAACACTTCTTGTTATATTTAATTTTCAGTGATTAAATATTAATTGAAATAAAGAAATTTCATGGATATGAGAATCGGACTGAGATAAAGGATAGGAATGTATTATCATCAAATTATTTGTTTCAAAGACAAATGCAACAAATGTGTAAAATAATTACGAATCTCTGAATGCTGACAAAAAAAGGACGTGCAAACTTCACGTGCTGATACCCTGGATTTTTGTCACGATGTAATGCAGATCAGTGTTGTGATAGATATGCATCACAATAAATGTGCACTACAGAAAAAAATATAATGTTGTCATTTGCAACTGTAGTGTATTCAAGGCAAAATTCATGTCTTAAACATTTTACAATTTATTAATAAATTTATTTAGGAACTGCAATTCATATTCGGAAACTCGATACATTTCGTTTTCATATCTTACTCAAGCACGTTTTGGAGAGCAGTCATGTAACAACTTTTTATAATATTTATAAATAGCTTATGAGAAATGAAAAACAAATTGACACGTAATAACAACCATTTAGACTTAGTATTAAGCAATTTAAAAAAAATATATATTCATTATTTTCATGTATTTTATCAATAAGGAATTATTCCATCGAAGCAATAAAAAAAATCTCATTTCTCCATGTGCACATTCTTATACAAACACAAATAGATCGGCCGCTCCTGCGGCCGATAATTAGCTATATTTTTCCCTTTTAGTGTACAAAAACTAAAAAGACATACAGTCGGTATTTTTTCAGTTTTGATGATGCTCATTACTTACCACCACAAGGCAGACAATCCCACTAACTGTAAGTAAAAAAAAATATGTCAGAGGTTAATATTTCCAGGTAGAAAGGTGTTAAAATTAATTACCTACAGCCAGTCTCATAAAAATCATACATGTACTTCTACAATTAAAAAAAGCAGCAAGATATACAGGTAATGAAAGGTCGACACTCATTTTTCTAAATACATGTATAGGAATGGTATATTTATGTATCTCTTTCCTGCTTTGAAATTGACGTACATAACATCATACACTTATTGACTTAGTTCGAGAGCAACATGCGTTTTGTCGGACCCAAGAACCAAACTGTTTCCCTGAGGCCGTTAGGCCGAAGGCAAACAGTTTGGTTTGAGGGCTTGACAAAATGCATTTTCCCCCAGAACCCAGTAAATAAATGTTTTGTTATGCCTTTTATTTTTTTTTTACATACATGTATCTTGTGATGGCTTCCTTGACGTAAATTTCCTTTACATGTACTAAAATTGGGTCATTTCTGTCACTGTCAAACAGCAACGAATGCAAAAGATTAACTGGCTACTCCCGCCCACAGTGTGACGTAAGCGGTCCAATATCTCTTCGAAAGGTCCAATATCTCCCTCTACGGTCAAACATCGATTTTTTTAATGACCGCTCGGTAAAATATTGGCAATGTTAGACTTTTTTTTAGTATAGATTTACATAGGAACCATTTTTAAAGGTGTAATAATACATATTGAACATATGCTCTCTTGTTTTTGTAACTCTATACAATATATAAATGCTTCATCATGTTATTAACCACAGGCACCTGACAAATGGATGGTGTAACCCCCCCCCCCCCAACCTTCTGAGAATTTTTATTAGACTCAAAAACTTATCAAAAATACATGAATTTATGGTCTATCACTCCTATATTTCGAAGTCTGATATCATTTTCCGCTTTTGTTAAGTTTTAGAGATTGGCCCTGTACGGTATATAAAAATACTAAAGATAAGAAATAAAATCTTGCAAACACACAGGGTATCCCGCTTCGAGGGAGATTTTCAACGTAAATACAACATAACAAATGAAATTCATGAAAGATGAAGTTCAGGAAGATGTCGTTTTACAAGCTTCTTACAGTCACACCCAGTCAAAATGATTTATTTGTTCCAAATTCGCGTTTATTTATCCAATTTCCATTCACTGGCATCGAAAGAGGAGGTCATCAAGCACTATTTTGTTGAGCATAATGAAAAATCCAGAGATAGCTTATCTGAACTCCTTGGATGTTTTCCACAAACTACAATAAAAACCTCCTCTTTCGATATTCCAGTGAACGGAAATTGGGGGAAAAAAAACGCAAATTTAGGAAAAATAAATCATTCCATGCTTTCTTACTTTTAGAAGTTAAAACTTATAGGAATATAATCTTTGAAAATCTTCTAAAGCCATTAATATTCAAAGAAATATTGAAGCATCCTCAGTTAGTGTAAATTTAAGTTTGTACAAATCATGCCCCTACCCCCCTTAATAGTTTGGGACCACTAATATATTTAACTTTTCAATACTGATACTGAACTGATTCATGTGTTTTCTTAGTCAAAGTGCTCAGATAAGTGATGGTGCCCACGGGCCTCTTGTTTTTTGATGTTTTCACAATTTCCTGTATGGGATATGTGCCGTTTTTTGTACTTCCTGTTGTATTATAATGTACGTACTTCCTGTGTTCGCGGCTAGCAGATAGTATGTTTTGTTGTCCTCCCCTTGAACGATACATATAATCATGGAAACCTAGAAATACAATATTTCAGAATTTAACAAATTAGATATTTTAGATAGAAGTACCTCACAAATACAGATTTAAATGTCAATTTCATATAGTTTGTCTCATTTCTTTAAATAAGAGCCATTCTCTGTAATGACTTAAACTTTTATTTAGCTCAAATCATGGAAAAAAGCCCTAAGGTTTGAAAAATGGCTTTTTGAGCATGTTCAGAGTCCCATGGTAAACGTTTACAGCAAATGCAGAAAAGTGACTATGATTGTTTCCAAATGTTGCAGATTTGATGTCCTAGATGTATGTTAAACATACGTTAAACATATCTGGGAAACCAATACTGTGGAGACAAAGTATTCAAAAGTAATATTTTTATTCATTCGTTTTTATAAAGTCATGGAATAAAGAATAAAAGCAATTATAGTTAATTGACAATTAAAGGCAAGCAAATAATAGATAAGATGCTTGAAACATAACCAAGGAAGGAATGTGATATTTCGTATTGGTTAGCAATGGTTGCTATGTAATACTGCAAAGGGATTTCAAATTCATTCTCTGTATTTTTAAATCTGATCTTTTTAAAGAGCACATTTCTCTATAAATGAAGATTAATTTTTAAAGGCAATCGTGTGGTCCTAATTTCCACACTTTAAAAAATTCAAATTTAAATCTTAAAATAGAGGGTTGCTATGGAAATTCTAGGGAAAAATATTAATAAAAAGTTGAAAAATATTGTTTCCTTGGATATGTACCCTTGTATGTATAAAAATTTTATGATTGATATTTATGAACAATTAACTAAACTGACTTTCAATTTTGACTACCACACAATCTTTGTGATGCAAGAAGCTGCCACATAGGGTTCAATATTGCTTTAAGATAACAAAATTGTGGATTTCCCTTCTTGGTAACATAGCAACAGTGTTATCTTCTTCATCAAACATTATCAATATACGATATTCAGCTTTAGTTCTAACAAATAAGTACAATTCAAGATGAGTAAAATATTTTTTCTTGTTTTATGGGTAACTATATTCTAAAGCAGCAAAAACATCACTTAAAACTACTGGTACGTTGTTTCCATGGTTACACTACAATGTACATGTAGCAACTAATCTTGATTTTTCTAATGTTATCTGTGTTACAATGTCCTAACGATGTATATTTGCCAATCTTGATTTTCTATGATTTTCACTAAGATAGCAGCATTAATCAAAACCTATGAACAAAGTTTCTGTTGCTACATTGTGTTACTATGGCAATCATGAACATTATTTTTAGAATAATTTTGCCAATACTTTATTTATTACACAAGGTCAAATATTTTTATTGTTTTTCTTGTGTTAGTGTTAAAATGTATTTCGAATGTACCCATGGTTACCTCTTACATGACTTAGAAATATATTCTAACTAGTTTCTTTGTAGTATTAGTGGCAGCGAGGTGAAATGCTTTTGTGAGAGCGATTTGTTTCAATTTGTAAGTCTTTACTAAGGCTCACTTAAGATTTAAAGTAGCTAAAAATCTCAATTTTATAAAAACTTTTTCGGCTGTGTCCATGGTAACCAAAACACATAGCAAAAGAATTTTATTTTAAATATGTTTCTCTAGTGTCTATTTAATGAACCCTTCATATTGTCATTGCCTTATTACGCAAGGTCAAATATTTTTATTGTTTTTCTTGCGTTAATGAGTAGATTTACCTTCGACCTTTCACTTTTTGACCTCAAAATCAGTAGGGGTCATCTACTCTACAGGGGGGGTACGAGTGTATCAAGTTTGATGTCAGTCAAGCAAAGGGATATCAAGATATTGAGCGGATAACACTTGGTCTACCGACTGACCGACCGACAGGTGCAAAGCAATATGCTCCCTTTTGAATGGGAGGGGGGCCAAAAATTAGGGGTGTAACAATACGTCGATGAATTGTGATGCATAGGGGGTCGATATGATACATCGATACATAAAATGAAGTATCGAATTTTTTTTTTCGATAATTTCCGGAAGTATATAAAGTTTGTTGTGGTTTGGGTTATAAAATAAAATATTTGCTCAAAACAACAGTAACGGAAATCGCTAAAAACCTGAAGAAAATTAAATTTCACTTTATTACAAAATAAAACGAAAATTTAAATTTAACTTGCTTTAAACTTGGTTTTAAGAGTACTAATGGCTAATATGAAATATAATCAGATGTTAAAAAAAAGGATGAAAAAGCTGCAATCTACATTTTCCTTCTTTAAGATCTTAAAATGTTTATTGAAAAAACCTTGAAAGTAAAAAAAAATCTTGATATATCATAATATATTGCGATATTTTTCTCATATATCCTGATGCATCGTGATAGATACTTTTTTCCCCTCACGATACACATCCCTTGTAAAAAAAAAAAAGTGCTACTCACGGCTCCGTTACCTTCATGGAATGGGTTGAAACATGAAGACTATTTCTTACATGAAAACGTTTAATTGTCTTTTTATTTTCCTTTGAACAATCAATTTAACCATTTGCATCTGGATACACGGTGTAGAAACGGACTGTGGTAACATTGTCCGCGACTTCGAAATTTTAACTTTGATCACATGATTTGTAAATTTTAATAATTATCAGCTGGTTAATAGACTGGTATTATGTCTGAACTACGGTATCCAGTATTTAGCGTAGGAATGTGTGTGTTGGGGGGGGGGGGGGTCAGGACGGACAAATTACCTTATTCTTAATGAAAATCAGACTTTAAAGATACTTTTCTTTTCATGCTATTTTAACCTAAAAAAAATTGCTATCGACAAATAGGACGTCTCATAGGTTACAAATAAGTAAGTTTGCAAAATAAAAAAGTTTCTTGGGTAGTCAGTCGTCCATGAATTCCATGCATTAAATTGACCCCTAATCGCTCAAAACTTACCCGAATTAAGGTCATTTTGACAATAAACCTCATCATAATCAACTAAAAAACTTTGATCACTTTCAGAAAAAAATATCAATATGATTTACCGATAAGAACATTTTCTCGTGAATCTTAAATAATTGAGGATTAAGGACATAAGATACTCGTAGGATACTCAATGTTAAAGGAATTCATAAAATAGTTTTACAGCCTTTATTATTGCTAAAAAATTATCAGGAAGTTTCCTTAAGCCATCCTTAATTATTTTTGCATTCTCTGCTTGTCAAGAATTTCCATTAGGTTGACCACCCCCCACGCCCATCCACACGTGAATGTCTGTATATTTATAAATTATATTCTCTATATTCCGATGTGCTTATTACAAATTCGTAGCACTCAAGCCAATGGCCCTCCTTAATCTTTAACGTTTATGCTATTCCGTTCCCAATGCATAAGTATATATGAAATATGAGCAATTAATTTCTTTTTGTATTGAAGCATTGTATGTCAACAGAATATTTTGAAATGAGATATCACAAGGCTAATTAATTAAGGGAAAGAGGAAATACTCTAAACGGATTGTTGTACATACTATATTTACCAGCCGGTAAATACCTTAGTACCTACATTTCACTAGATAGCGACTCGCTTGTACATAAGATCATTAATTCCCTTGTCAATATTTGCACTAAATCCAGTCATAACATACGAGAGTTCATGTTCATGTTAATATTGATTATATAAGGGACAATTTTCAGATGAAAGAAGTATAGCATGCATTCAAATATCAGAAGCCTTAATAAAGACATGAGGTCATAGTTTAAAGTGATGAAATGATATAATTACCAGTGCCATCAAAAGAACGATAAAATTAAACATCCGAAGTAGAATTATCTGAAATAAAAATGGGTGGAATATTAACTTCCTCTTTAAATTTTCTTTCAGCTCAATAAAAAAAAGGACATTAAAATGTTCATGTAAATCAGTCGATCATTTGACTTTAATATACTATGTACACAATTTTTTCTCGTAATTACGAGATCTTTATGAATTAACGTTCATTATTTTTAAACTACTTACGATATACGGTGATACTTCATAATATATAGCTTCAACTTCAGTTGATTTTGAATCAGCCATGTTGTCATATGATAATAGTAGCTACTGATAAACTATTAATCACATGATAGAAAAGTATGGCAGACGATAAATCAAGTTTATTAAAAGGAAAACAGAATGACCTGGAACAAGGAATTTATTACGAACAATCACCTGCAACAGTAAGTTATATTTGTTCAACAGTGGGTATTTTTTTCCAAACTTTACTTGTTGGGTTAAAAGGCCCCTTTTTGAAATGTCTACTTTTGACGCCGTATATAAAGTTCTTAGATAGTATTACATGTATTATCGTTTTAGTAACAGCGTGACAGTTTGCTTGATGGGGCGTGCTAAAGTTTTGTGTGCTGATTATCATTTTACTCATCGATTGGATGTTTGATTTCAATAAAATCAATACTAATTTGCATATGAAACTCAGATTGTTCAAGGCTGGAAAGTGGAGAAATAAATCCCTAAAGTGAGGAGAAAATCTTGCGCCGTAAATTGCACTTTATTTGCATTACGGGATCTGTACATAGCGTTATAGTCAAAGACTAAAATATAAAAACCATAACGCTACAGTTTTGCAGCTATAGAGAAACGTATACGGGAATTATTTACAAGGATTTTTTTTGTTATGATAAGACATGCAGAATGTGTTTACACGTGCATCACTACTGCACGAATGGCGAGAGAATATCAGAATTACCATGTATATTTGGCCAGTTCTTCCTCTTTAAGAAGTTTTTGCCTGTTCCATTTTTATTATTTTCAAATCTTTATAAACCCCCTGTGAATGAAGTTTTGTTTATGATGGTTAAAACTGATTGGACTAGTCTACTATAATGGGATAAACCAGGAAATAAAATAAGAAGGAAAAATAGCAAATTCATTGCTTTAGTGTTACCTGTCCATATACATGACATACGATATGTGTGTGTTGTTTTTTTAATGTGATAAATAAAAATTCTAAAGCGAGAACAAGGTTTAAAAAAAAGAACTTTATCTAATGCCATGGAAGTTATCGCACCCATTTAATAGAACATTCCCAAAGATTTACTCGTGACATTCGGCGCGAAATGATTGTGTCACCCCTTTCCTAAGAAACACAGAGAAAAGTTCATATTGGGAATCGCATGGAATAAACACTTGTATGCAAGAGAAAAAAAATAAAATTAAGAAATAAAAAAAAATAAAAATAAAAAAAAAATAAAGAAAGTAAACACATCAATATTAAATATGATTGTTCCTCTGCTAACTATTGTTGTTAAAACACAGGTAACAAATACCGATAGAAATTTAGATAGCTATATAGCTGTCAACCCTTAGTTCACATCATGGAAAAAAAATGACACTTAAGGAAGCTTAAGCCCTGATAATTTTTTTTATGGACTTTGAGAAAATTATATAATATAAAGGTATACATATTAAGTTTATTTTATCTTGTTCATTTTACATAGAGTACCCTCCAAATTCCTCAAAAAAAAAAAAAAAAAAAAAAAGAAAAAAAAAGCTCAATGACAATGAAGTAATTATTGAACAGAAATCACTATTGTTTGCTTAAATTAAGAATAAACATGCAAGTAATGTTTTCAATTACTTTATCTCGGTCTAGAATAATTTTGAGAATACTATAATCTACATGTATAACATACTGTGTCATTTATTGTAGATTTCCTTTTATCCCATAATAACTCAAAGGGCAGATCATTTTAAGTGCATAAAACCGCCATAAAATTAGAACTCTTCGGTGAGCAATGTTTAGAGCTTCCTTGACCTGCCTGGCTCCCATGGTGTCAGGCAATAATCTTTCCAGTTCACGACTATAAATTAATGTATAATGCCTGATCTATCGAGGAAAATGGACAAGAGAAAGGAGTTGGGTGAACAAGGCGTAAAGAATGCCAATAGCTTCAGATATATAAAATCATATTCAGTTCGTGAATTCAGTATTTTGAGTAAAGTTTTCACTATCGAGATTTATGAAATTATGATAAACAACATAAAAAAAATTCCACTTTTTTGAGGAAAATTTTCTTGGCAATTTTTTTTCTGTTATTAAAAAAATAATGTTTTACTAGCGGGGTTCGAACCCTTGCAATGAAAATCCTGAGTATCATTTGCCTTTGAGACCAACATGCTTTTTTTTTTTTAAATTTTCTTTTTATCTTATTATTATTATTATTATTTTTGGCATTTCGCTTGCCTTTTTCGCCCATCTTCTTTCCAAGAGAAGTAAAAGGGTGTGAAGGTTAGGCCAAATAAAAAAATATGTGTGGTTCCGGTTACCCGACCTTCCCTATTTTATACCCCCGACCCTAAACTTTTTTTTTGGCAATTTTCATATTTTTTCCGGAATTTCCCCCCGATTTCCATCAATGGCTCCAGTTTAAGTTTTAGTTTCAGCAATGACGGCCTCCTTGCAAAACATAGTGCAAGTGTTTAATAGTGTTAAATCCAAAGCAAGCTAGCATGTAGATGTCCCCTACCAATATTGACTAGAATATTATCACACCACATTTAAATGCCATTTGCAAAGCAGTGATATGTATTATTTAAAAAAAATTAAGAAAATCATTTTGTTAAAAACAAAAAAAAAAAAAAAAAAAAAAAAATCCCTACCTACCTACCCTAATTTTTTTGGAAGTGTAACCGGAACCACACATATTTTTTTGTTTGGCCTTATTAATGAAGGTAGCGTGAAAGAAGTATACATGTACACTATAAGATTCAGTTTAAGGATATCCGATTCTCAGAAAGGAAGGATAACTCTTAGAATTATTATTTAATTTTAAAAAGTCTCAAAATTAAGCTTGAAATTGAACTCTTTTCATGCAACAATTTTCATTTCTTGCGTCTCAATATGATTTAAGGTTCTTTGAAGTCTTAGAAACGGTTTCGTAAAAAGTTGACATTTGTACCCTATAATAGTACAAAAATGAATACAATTTTAGAGAAATTGAATTTCCTTTAATCTAGCCTTAGATACCAATGTTTATTAGCATAATATATAAATAAGAAATGATCTGTGATGTCTTACAGTAATAGCACAAATGTTTTACACTATGTATTATATAATAATTGAAGTAAATAAAGTAACGTATAAGTATAAAAAAAATCATGCAGTTTTCTCCAAATGCCTGGATACCTATAATTTTTTTATCCTAAAATATATTTGTTGATCAATTTTCAATTAGAAAATGCATAATGGGTGCTTTTATTTGCATTTCCTGATAATATATTTGAGATTTGATACCTTTCCCTATATAATATGATTAACTTTAATGATGAACTTTTAGGAAATACCATTGGTAAATACACCTTACATGTACTTTGAAAATTCAGGGACATTTTTGTAGAAAATTCAGGGATATTTTTGTGAGCATTTTCAATTACCAAACTCCTAATTTTCAGAACCCGAGGATCGGACTACCTTAATTTATTCTATTAAATCAAGCCAATTGGCTCATCAAATACAATCAACAGAAAAGAAAATATTTAATACAAAAATGAGGCATTTAATAACGAGAATTATGTTAACAAGAGAAGAGATCTATTATAAGAAGAAACAAGATCTCACCATAACGAGAGAACGAGTTACTAACTTTCTACCAAAGTACTCCAAAGATTATTTAATTAGTAAAACAGGTATATCTACCACAAGAAATAATAAGACATCCAATTCCACCGCCGCAGATTATTGTAGAGTTTTAAGTGCTGCTTATTAATAAATGGGTAAAATAACTGCAACTGAAGTACAAGCATATTCAATTGCTTTTAATTACTTTATTGTGGTCTAATATTTTGCTAGGAGTATTGAAACAATAACAGTCAAACATTGTATAGGTGTATTTTTGCCTTAAATTATTAACTATCGTCATTTATGGTTCCACATGAAAAATTGAGAACTTAATTTAGGATTTATCTGTTCTAGGGGAAGAATGCTAACTTGATGAAATAGCCATACTGCACTTAGAATTATGAAATTGACACTATTCTCAATGAGACCGAGATTTTACTTTTTATTTATTATATTATACTTTCATGTAAATTAGTTGAATCTGATTCGTCGAGAAACATTTGTTAAAAAACACTATTACCCGCTGAATAATGAAGCCATGCCCTCCAGCGTAGCAACACTTAACATTGCTTGACGACGGTTGTTATTCCAAAAAATATTGACTGCGCAAAATTCATGCGCACAAGGTTCACTGTAATATGTATTTGTATAAAACATTCAGTATAGTATAATAAATACTGCATGTAGTTGAGTGTAACATTGCAAATTTTCACCCCTCGAAAACCATTGTCAACCGAGGCTGCGCCTCGGTTGACAATGGTTTTTTTGGGTTGAAAATTTGCAATGTTACACTTAACTACATGCAGTATTTATATAATATCACATTCGCAACATCATGGTCCTTGCAATCTTGAATACTTGAAACGTCTTTTTGTGTACTTGTTCAACTATTTATTTATTTATTTTTTTACATTGTAGATGAAATTAGCATAAGCATAAGAGAAAAGCAGCTTTGAAAATAAAATTTTAAATTTTTAATATTTTCAGAGATGTGTGCAGGGTTGTTTCGTTGCTCTCGTTGTAATAATGGTCATAGTAAGTATATACATTGTAATAATGGTCATAGTAAGTACACGTATACACATTGTTATAATGGTCATAGTAAGTATATACATTGTTTTAATGGTCATAGTAAGTATATGTCCCAGAAAGCTACGGTTCTGCAATTAACTTCCTGCTGAACTCATTTTGTTTCAACTCATTTCTGTGTTAAATGTTGTTGTAGATCAGCATTATACTTAGTATGGTCCGAGGGACAGAACTAGGAACCTATGGTGGGGGACATTTCATGCTTGGCATAAGTCTTATAGGGTTCGTGGTGCTGGAAATATTCATGGTAAGTTATCGATACTTTACTTACATCTCTGTCACCGTCTCAGCATTGAACAAAATTGATATATGCCATCATCTATATCACAATCCCTACCTGCCTGAGACACCAACATCACCGGCCAAGGACTCGACATTGGTCGAAGATCAATACGGGATGTGATAAGGCTATGTTTTTACGTTACACTAAATATGTGATTCTTTAACAGAGGGAAAAAGAGACAGTATTCTTTTAGTGTAAAAGCAATTAATTTTGAATCCTTCGGTTAATTAATATTCATGTTTCTAAAGCCATAACGGCGATTTCTTTGGTAGGTTAAAATTGAGTTTTCCGTAATTTGGTGTTATTTGCTTTGCACTTATGAATCATGCCATGAATCTTTATACATTAACTTAATAACTTATAACGCAAAATGTATCATACTAGTGTTTGTGATACAACTCAAGAGATATAATTACATGTATTGAACGGGCTTCTCTTACGTTTCCTTTTGAATTTCAGATAGTTTTTATTCGGAGGGGCGATTTACCGAAAGAGAAGACGTGGTTTCTGTACTTTGTTGGGGGATGTGTTATACTGGAAGCAATCTTTACCGATATCCTACTGTATCAATGAAAACTTTTATATAAAAAAGGTGTGACTAATTTATTTACCATGTATATAGACCTTTATTTCCCCCGGAATAGTGTTGGTTGATTAGTTAATATAGACTGCAAAATCACTCCATGGACACTCTCCTCATGAAAAATAGACATAAACTATGATGGCACAATTATACGATCCATATTATGTCTTACTGTATACTGTTTTGTATTTGTTTTATTTGTTTGTTTTTTTATTTTACACAATTCCGTTTGTTTGTTTTATTTGCATGGAACGCCAAATAATATACATGTAGATTTAGTAATTTGTAATAATCTTTTAATTATAAATAAATAATCCTAGGGTAATTGAAGTTATCTTTAATTAAAAATGGCTTACACTCATATACGAAATTTTGCTTTAAGTGCTGAAACAGATTTGAAAGGAATTAAAGGATTTGTCCCTGTTTTGCATATTTATTTATCTTTTTTTTTTCTTTTTTTTTTTTTTTTACACATTTCATCGTTTATTTTCGACAAAACATTAAAATTTAATTGTATACAGAACAGAATTTTATCAAAATAAAATATAATGCTATACCTTGAAATATTGCTTGAAAATTCACAACGTAATTCCCTAAATATTAAATACATTCAATTTTTTAAAAAGAATTTCAGTAGTTTCAGACAAATCGAATGGTTCAAAAGTTTAAAGACATCGCACGACGTACGGTGACAGATGATCGAAAACGAATACTCCTAGTTTACCTGACCTAGAAATAAAGTCCCCCCCCCCCCCCATAGGACCTAATTCTATATCCTTAAATATCCATTGCAAACATAATACTCTGATATTAAATAAGAGCATTTTAGAGTAGACAATGATTTCAGGACCGTTTTAAAGGGGGCAACCCCCCCCCCCAAAAAAAAAAATCTTTAAAAAACAACAAACAACGTAAACTTTACAAACTCAAAAATCCTATTTCGGGGGGGGGGGGTATTGAACCTTCTTCTTACCCTACTCCCACACCCACCCCTGCATTCTACGGGCCTGGGTTTATCAAGAGAAATTTTTAAAAATATATTTACCTTCGCAGTAATTTACGAAAATTGAGCTCTATGGAGACAAACTAATTTTTTAAGCAAAAATTCAAATTCTTAGAATACCAATAAATGCTGCGGCGGAAAGATGTATTTGATCCTACTAGGGATAATACAACCATTGAAAACTTTTTTTAACCGAATAAATATTAAAATGATTTTCATTGATTAAAAACAAGGGGATAACTCTTTATGAGCAGTTTTAGGTAATAAATTAGGACACATTTCACTGAATATATATATATATATAGAGAGAGAGAGAGATGGTTACAATAATTTAGACAAAGGAAATTGAAAGAAATTAACACAAGAATTTTCTTGTTTCCAATAAGATTGTCACTACTGCCTCATAATTCTTGTACTAAGGTGTAAATATAGATTCATTCTTAGTACATGTACAGTATTAGCCAGCCTATTGTCAGCATCAGGGGCGTATCGTATTTTTCTGCAAACTGCCTTATAAAACAGACTCCGTATACCTTTTACCGTGAGAGCTTAAGCGCTATTCAACCTCGATGTATCTATTATAAAAATTTCATCCCGTTTTAATGGTAACAACAACAGAGGGGGATCAGGTGGGATTAGTTCGACGGGCCTGGGATCGGAGTGACACAGATAGCTTCGGCGATATAGGAACGCCTGTAATCCCCCAATAATTCCCCCTAACTTCTCTCACCTTACATCGAGATTGAACTGATGCGAAATAAGGTGTGCTGAATTCAAAACCTTCACATCATGGCCAAACTGACTTTGCTGACGAAATTTTCACTGCTTTTGCATTCTGTAATCGGTGCCACTCTAAGATACAATCTTCATGGACTGAGTTCCCCGCACGTATCACTCCTGTCATCCACTAGACCTTTTCCTTTGAATGAGCATTTGGACGGAGCGATGCCATCATTAGGAAACGGCAACAAATTTATGTTGACATTTTACCAGAATTTGTTGGATGGACATTCTCTGTCCAAAGCTGCCCAAACAAACAGCAACATCAAAGAGAAAGTCAACACGATTCGAAGTGTAACTCCACAAGGTTAGTGTCTCAGCTCTCGTTGTAAAAGTGGGTCATACAAAAAATAATGTCAAATTGTTTTGTCTCTCTGTACTCTAGTTAATGGAAGAAGCCAAGAGGTTTCTATAATTCTAAAAATGAATTCCTTTAATGATGCTTATTAACACTGGTTTGGTCAAATATTGTGTTTCTGTTATAATTTCAAAGTAAAGACAAACAAAGAAACAAAATAAATAAATAAATAAGCTGTCAAGTGAAGTAACACATTTTTTTCCACCTCAAACAAGTGTATGTCTCTCAGAAAAAAGGTAATTTACCTAGACTGATTTTGGGTAACCAGATTTCTTTTACACATAAAATGTAATGAATATTCTTCATTTTCTATATAATTAAATTACATGTATATCCGTAAAGAACGGGAAACAAAAAAGTTTGAAATAATTTTAACATCACAATGAATATAGAACCAACACGCTCATTTACTAAATCTTACTTTAAGGTCCTCAAGGATAAGTTTTGCACGTACACCTTGGTATTTTATTAAAAAATTATTCATAATTGTCATTCTCTTGTGATTTCTAAATTGAATTCAATAATTTTTTTTAAAAATAAGTACACTAAAAATTGTGACATTGCAATTCATAAGATTACCCATAAGGATTATATAAGAAATATCACCCTTTGGTATCTTGCCGAAATGCCTGGTAAGGTACCTCAATTTTTGGTGAGGAACTATGTTTAAGTAACAACACTTCAATGACAAGTTCTTGGAAAAAATATATGTTTTCGAGGAACGTGTCGTCTGACCTTAGATTAGAAATTAGCAGGCGCATTTAAATGCGTACTTTTAAAAATGAAGTGAAAAATTCGTTTTCAACGTTAAGTAAATACATACATTAAGAATTATATTATTATTCTTTCTACCGGTACAAAAATCGTAATGATTTTCAGATTTTTCTCTCGAAATATACGTATAAAGATGGAATAATAATGAGATTTTTCTTCTCCCCTTGTTTTATACTTGTTACAAAAAAGTTAGCTCTAAAATTTTTAATCACGCAAATATCTGTATAAGATCAGTCAGGGAAATTTTATGTTTTAAGAGGTAATTAAAGAAAAATATACGAAATAAAGATTTTTTTTCTCTTGTTGTATATGTAAATTGAGAAGAAATATTAATATGATTTTTTGACAAGAAGAATAAAAAATGCAATCAGTAAAATATTTTGATGAAAACTTACAAGATTTTATTAACTTTTTTCTTTCTTACTCTCCTCTTTCACATTCCTTTTTTTATTCAGATAAAAGTTTCAGACTTTTACCTAATGATGAAGAAAGGCTAGCACATTTAACACAAAATATGAAAAAGTATGAGATTGTTTAATCAATTAAAGCCAAAGAGAGTGGATTCCTGAATATATATATATATATATATATATATATATATATATATATATATATATATATATATATATATCACCAAGAGTCTTATTTCTTAGGGTTTCAACGACCGATCTTTCAATAGATTTAATCATTAAAATGAAATGTAGTAAACAAAATGATCATAGACTAACAAAGAAAAATATATTTGTAGGCGTGAATAAATGTAAAAATGTGAAATATTTTTGCTCACATTTTTAGATACAGAAGCTTCATTCTTCTCATATTTGTTAATAAAAAATCTTACTAGTAATTTTTGGATTATTTTCTAATGCATTAAACACGAAGGATTACTACATAAATAAAAAAAACGTTTTAAAATAATATGTCAAATGTCAAATGCTTTTATGAGTTATCAAAGCGTCTAGCATTTTCTAATTTTCGCACGTATTTCAGACATTGGAAGCGACAGCTCATTTACTTTCTGTTAATCCGATTATTTTCCTATCAGTATACTCAGTGTACAGTAATCAGTCGCCTCTTAATCTTTGACCTGTCCACTAGCCGCCTTATTGCTTTTATTGTCATCAATCCCGCCTTAAACGTGCGATTGTATATACAATCTAAATCTTATACCTCTAAATTGTAATCTTATTAATCTATGTCAAAGCCACCGTTTATAAACTTCCGGGGGGGGGGGGGGCGCCCTACAATACACAGTCTTGGAAATCTCTTACAGAACTTCACAATAAATGCTACATGCCCTTTTTTCTTTAAAAATGACTTAAGATTGTAAATATGATAGGCCAAATGAGAGTCATGACGAGTAGTTTGTACCGATAATAAAATACAGAAATATTGTAGAAAGAAAGTGTATAGAAATTATTACCCACTAAAATATTATTTTAACAAAATGGCACCATTATATTGAGTCAGAAATTTACGACCCGGTTATATTTTGACACTTTGAAAAACACTCATTCCAAAGGGACATCTTTAGTCCCTTAGAAGCGCATTTTGTCACAGATAAGGAGGCACTATTATCGCTCTGTTGAATTTTAAAGATTAAAAAAAAACCTTTGAAAAAGCAACAAAATCATCATCCACTTGTAGTTTTCTAAAATGTCTTAATTTACTTGAAATCGAAAAGAATAAACCGCAGGAATGGTTATATGGTAGTAGGAACTTTTAAAATAAATCCATTCCTTTTTGTGGAAAATTGTATAACATTTATATTAGCCATGTCCATAACCGAAATTATGACAGCTTTATCGGAAAATACAACGTGTTTAATGAATATCCAAAAAAATGCTTACTTTGAAATTCTATGAATGACTCATGTAGTATATTTGTTACACAGATGATGTCTTCAATATCCGGGCACTTCCACCAGAGGATGATGTCCACCACGTGGAGCTCCGGTTCAATTCTCACACAGTTCGCAGGAGATGGCTGAAAATAGTAATAAAGCGTATGAATAAAACCATTCGAACATTTCAATGCAGTACATCGAATAGTTACGATGTCACCGCGTTCGTTCGACCTTGGATATCAAAAAACGACAAAGACTTGCATGTAGAGGTGAAACAAAATAAAGTCCCCGGAGATGATAGTATATTATTAATATTTTCAAATGACAGAACACAATTGAACAAACTATCAACAATAAGTAATATTTCTGAGGAGGTTACTAGTGAACATCATTCACGAAACAAAAGAGCTGCTCGCCGACGTAGAAGAGACTGTCACTTGTCCAACATGCGTATAAGTTTTTCAAACCTCGGTTGGGGACAATATATCATTTTTCCAAAGACTTACAACGCAAGGGTGTGTAAAGGAATTTGTTCAACCAGTGTCACGCAACAAAGAGCGGTAACAAACCATGCAATGATGCAAAGTCTAATGCGCCAATCAGTAAACGGTAACTTCCCCTTGCCTTGTTGTGTACCGAAGACTTTAAGTCCATTAAGCATTCTGTATTTTGAAGATGATCAGATACTCGTAAAACACCATAAGAACATGGTGGCTGAGGAATGTGGATGCGAGTGAAATGATAGAGCAGTAGAGCATACTGTTACCCATTTGTTGGTGCATGGAAACTCTACAACGAGGCAGTATTTTGCGAGGTTTTTATGAATTTATATTCCACACATACTCCAAGAAGAGCTTTTTAAAAAAAAAAAAAAAAAGTACGAGCTCATGTATTGTTACTTTATTTATAGTCTATGTTGTTATCAGTCGTTGTTAAATTTTACAGAAAAAAAAATAAAGCATGGAAAAACCGATGAACATATTGAATTATATTTCTTTCCTTACCAGGAACGTAGACCTTTCACTATTGAAAATGTTCATTGAAAGGCTGGTTGCCCCCTCCGGCCCAGACTTTTGTTTCATAGTGAAATCGGAAATTTTGCGCTATGTTAGTTTATTATAATTTGAACAAAGTCTTGTACTTGGTATTGGAAGCTGATTTCAGTACATGTATGTGTATGAGGACACAAGGAAATTTGCATTACATGTACATGCCTATACTACTATTAATTAATGAGCAAGTTTAAGTTTTAAAAAATGATATAAAAAAAATCACTGCAGAATAATAAAAATAAACTACACCTTTTCATTTTTCAGACCAAGTTAAACATACACTTAACAGCCTTGGGTTTGTTATATATATATATATATATATATATATATATATATATATATATATATATATATATATATATATATATATATATATATATATATATATATATATATTCCTGAAGACGCTTTGTCTAATACAGGAAAAAAATTAAATAGCAAAAATGTGTTGTCAACTTATAATCATAAATTATAATTTCGTTACACTTCGTGGCAAAAGAGAAGAAAATCCAATATGTATTGACATTGTAAATCATGAAACTAGAATTGTCCTTCAATATCGCTGAATAGCTATTTATTAGCAATTGCATGGCGAATATGGCTTAAAAATAAGACAATAAGTACTATAAACAACATGATGTTTACCGCATTTATTGATTTGCTCGTATGAATAAAACAGATTGTATATTGTGTTAATGTCTGAAATTTAAGAAAACAAATTGTCAGCTCCAAATATTTTCCACTCTTCAAAACTCAGCCGCAATAATGTTGGAAGGTCTTGAAAACATCGATGACCTCTATAACAAACTAATTCAGAGATTTGTGCCCCCGCTTAAGGAAAAAAGAAGAGCATGCTCGGATCTAGAAGGGATGGGGGAGGGGGTCCGGACACCCCTGGATTTGTAGGGTTATTTATTGTATAAGGGGGGGGGGTAATTTTTTTTTTATTTTCTGTTGCTCTAAACATCTGCATTAACGTCTTCTTATACAAAATTTTCACATTTTAATACCAATATGGATATAAGAATTGATTGTTTATTCTATAAAATGTGTACTGAAGATTCTTTTTATATAAATTATTTATCACACTGTAATAATGATTTTATGAGAAGGTTTGTATACACGCCAGACGTCATAACTGCTTGTATGGAATTGGGCGCGGATCCAATTACTTTGTGCATACTGGTGCTTTACGTGTTATTCACTAATTCTCATTGGCTTTTTCTTATATATATATATATATATATATATATATATATATATATATATATATATATATATATATATATATATATATATATATATATATATATATATATATATATATATATATATTTCGTTTGACCAACAAATACTTGTGCTTTGTCTGAAAACCACTGTCCTTATAATGTCCAATTTTTCGTGCTTGACACGTTCGATATTGTCAAAATTTAACACAACACATGGTGTCTAATTTAGCCTTTACTAAACAGATCTAATAGATATTATTAGAATATAAAGTCCGCCGACAACCTGTATTATATACAATAACTCTCCACATTCTCCTGTGCTAAAGTAGTTCCACGCAGCTTTTAATACAAACGGGGAGTAATTCTAAAACTTTGAGCGTGGCCGATGCCAACAAATTTCCACACACACACACACACACACACACACACACACACACAATGACCAAAAGAAATTAAAAAAAAACAAACAAAACAAAAACAAAAACAAAAAACGGGGCGGGTCACGTTGAGAGGGGCGAGCGGGGCCATAGGGAGTTATGATATAAAATTTAAATGCAAAAGTTCAAAAGCTTCTAGAGATATTGCCTGGAAACGAAAGTGTTACAAACAGACAGAATGTTGGAATTTATGACTTGACCTTTGACCTTTTGACCGCAAAATCAATAGGGTTCTTCTTTTGGCCATGGGGAGTTGTTACGTAAAATAACAAAGTACGATCCCATTCAATCAAGAACTGTGTTTTGCCACCATCTTGTACGAATTCTACACCATCTTGCGCGCAGAGTGTCGCGACCACGGTTTCGTGTTTGTTTCCTCACTGCTCCAGGATAATTGATGTCGGTGTGACCTTTTTGTCCATTCCGTCCGCAATGCTGCGCGCAAGATAGTGTAGAATTCGTACAAGATGGTGGCAAAACACAGTTCTTGATTGAATGGGATCGTACTATCATTAAAAGAATTTAGATTCATTATCGCCATTTTCACAATATTTATATGTTACAGTGTAATTCGGGTGCTCTAGTTTTTATATGTTCTATTAATTAAATGGAAATGACACTCGGTAGTTGTATGTTATGTTCATTCAGCAGTTCTGATGAATTAGAATGATTTTAAAGGAGGAACTGGCCTATATTGGCGAACTTTGAAATAGCGCTGAATAGGGTAAAGAATCACAATTTTATATCTCTAAAACGAGCACAGATTTGGTTTAGTTGCCAATAAAAAGTATCACTGTATGGCATTCAGGTCACTGTGAGATATTCCTTCATCATATGCTTTTCCTGGTCAAAAGCGGTAAAATAATACAGGAATGGGATAAAGTGAATAATTTTCACGTGTTTTCGTTATGCATGCAATTTTTAATTTTATGCAATTGATACAAACATCTAGGGAAAGAGGTGAAAATAACGAACAGTGTTCAATCACACACATAACACTAAGGCATAGAAAGCTAGTGTATTGGTCAGGAAGCTTCGTGACTGAATTTTACAGATTATAAAAAGATTTTTTCAAGATATGCGGCATAAAATTGTACGGAAGGCCGTTGAGGCCAGTTCAGAGAAAGAAATATTTTTTATTGCGTTTAAACGCAATAATTATTGCGTTTAAACGCAAAACATTGCGTTTAATCGCAATAATTATTGCGTTTAAACGCAAAAGATTGCGATTAATCGCAATGTATATTGCGTTTAAACGCAAAACACTTTGCGTTTAAACGCAATACTTTTGCGATTAAACGCAATACTTTTTGCGTTTGAACGCAATAACATTTTTGCGTTTAAACGCAATATTTTTTGCGTTTAAACGCAATAATTTTTGCGTTTAAACGCAATAATTTTTGCGATTAAACGCAATACTTTTGCGATTAAACGCAATAATTTTGCGATTAAACGCAATAATCTTTGCGTTTAAACGCAATAATCCTTCCTTATAAGGATTTGTTTTGCATTTAAACACAATGATACTGTAGTTTCAAAATCAAACATGAATTAGTCAAAGCTTATAATTACATGTACTAGGACCCGACACTTCAACTTTAAGAAGATCCGATTTGTTATGTGTCTTTTTGCAAAATTTTCCAGTTTTTGAAAATTGTAATAAAACAATGGCATCTTAAATGTATTAGAACCCAAAACTCTTAATGAAGTCTCTGATCAATTGCTTACGTGTATCACAACTTATAGAGAAAGTTTCAGTGGTATTAATAGCACTTGTCAATTTGATACATGTAGTACACATCGATCAATCTGTTTTCATTTGATTTTGATTTTGACCTCATATAAATCCATCACATATGTTCTTGTGTTTACTGTATGCAAGCATAGGAAGGGTTATGAATGTACATTGAACGTAATTCCAACATTTCCTCAGTCCTTTCCAAAAATCCCTTTATACATGATTTAAACTTGTGACTGCAACGTATGGGACAGTTTTTTTAGCAGTACAACTGACCGAAACTTCATTGAAAATGTAGAGAATAAGCTTAAGACATGTCTCGTTCTTAGGATTCCTTTGTTTTTGCAACCCGACATTTTTTTCTCCTCTGTAAATTCTTATTATTGATTTCCCTTTCAGAGAGTGTTTGCTGATCTGATTCTATAAAGACAACACACAATTTCCTAATAAGTAAAAAGAGAAAGAAATAAAAGATATAAGTATGCGTGGGTCCATTGTTCTCTGCAAGTTTTGAAACAAATGACTGCCTTTAAACACAAAGATTATTGCCTTTGAACGCAAAGATTATTGCGTTTAAACGCAAAAAGTATTGCGTTTAAACGCAAAAATTATTGCGATTAAACGCAAACGTATTGCGTTTAATCGCAAAAATCATTGCGTTTAAACGCAAAAGTATTGCGTTTAATCGCAAAAATTATTGCGATTAAACGCAAAAGTATTGCGTTTAATCGCAAAAATTATTGCGTTTAAACGCAAAAATATCATTGCGATTAAACGCAAAAATTATTGCGTTTAATCGCAAAAGTATTGCGTTTAAACGCAAAAGATTGCGTTTAAACGCAAAAATTATTGCGATTAAACGCAAAAGTATTGCGTTTAATCGCAAAAATTATTGCGTTTAAACGCAAAAATATCATTGCGATTAAACGCAAAAATTATTGCGTTTAATCGCAAAAGTATTGCGTTTAAACGCAAAAGATTGCGTTTAATCGCAATCTTTTGCGTTTAAACGCAAAGTGTTTGCGTTTAAACGCAATATACATTGCGATTAAACGCAATCTTTTGCGTTTAAACGCAATGATTATTGCGTTTAAACGCAATAAAAAATATTTCTCTCTCTGAATTGGCCTCAACGGGCTTCCGTAAAATTGTGCACACAATCAAATTAGAATATCATTTCTAATTCTGCTTTTATGAAAAAATAAATCTTCCAAGATACAAAAGCTGTTTTCACCCCTCCCTCTCTCCTTTCAGTAACCTCGGTGGAGGTTCGGCTGGGCTCGATATTTGGTCTCTGACCAAATATCTAGCCTAGCCGAATCTCCACCGAGATTATCCTTTCAGTAA